GTCGTGGGAGGCATTCGGAAGGATGAGGAGGGGATGATCGACAGACAGGTTGGAAACGACAATCCGGAGAGGAGTAGTCAGACCCTTGATGGGGACAGGAGTGTTGTTGACGGAGTAGAGGCATGGAATAACCTCAGGAGGACCCAGAGGAAGCTTGTGCTTTTCAGCAAAGGTGGAACTGGACACGGAACGAGAGGCACCGGTATCGATGAGGGCAATGGCTGAAATTCCATTGACCTCGACAGAAACCTCGAAAGACTTGACGTGGGCGGTGAGAACGGAGGAGTGTTCCTTTTTGTTGTTGTTGTTGTTGTTGTTGGTTTTTGGTTGCTGGGATTTCTTGGGACAGTCTGTGGCGGAATGACCTTTTTCGCCACAGAACATGCAGAGTCCGAGGGTGCGGCGACGCTCTTTCTCTTCAGGCGCGAGGTGGCCGTTCTGGAGATTGAGCGAAGGCTTGGACGGAGCAGCGGCCGGAGGATGGGGAGTGCCAGAGGAAGACGAACGATTGGAAGAATTGTTCGGACGAGAAGAAAAAGGAGAATTGGCAGAGCGGTGACTGGTAGACGAGTCAGGGCCTGCACGAGGGTACTTGATGCGCATGGTGGCGGCAGTCGCAGAAATCTCGTTGAGGTAGTGATCGAGAGAGAGGTCGTGGTTGGCACGAAGGTGACGGGACTCGAGTTGGAGACGATCGGGCAAGAGGGATTCGACGACGTGGAAGAAGGCGTCGGTGCCCAGAGTGCAGCCTTGGTCGCGAATAGAGCGGACGAAGGTAAACAGCTCATCGATTGTGCGGCCGGAGGGAGTGAGGCCAAGAAGCAGACCATTTGCGCGAAACGCGGCATTTGGATCTCCGAAACGTCTCTCTAGAAGGGAAAGAAACTCATCAAAGGAAAGAGGAGCAGAAGGGTCAGAAGCAACTGTGTTACACCAAGTGAACGCGGTTTCTCGAGTACGGTCGATCACAATACTAATTCGTTGGTGGTCGAGCAGATCGGGGAAATTGCCGACATAGCGCCTGACCTGAAGCAGAAAGTCTCTGGTCTTGGAAGGATCCTTGCCAGTGAAGAATTCCGGCAGGGTGAGCTGAGGACGCAGAGGCGGAGGGACAGAGGGAGCAACAACAACGGGTTGGATGGAGGACTGATGCAGCGCAATGGCTTGAGCGATAATTGCGGCCAGTTGGTCAGCTGAGAGGGATAGCGTAGGAGGAACCGGAGCGGAAGGGAGTTGGACGGGTGGCTGAGAGGAGGAAATTGCCGGAGTGGCGGGAACTGCCGGAGAGGCAGGCGATGACGATTGATTGGGAAGTTGAGAGGGAATTGCCGGAGGGGCGGAGGACGAGGATTGATTGGTAGTTGCTGGAGGAGCAGTGGAGGTTGCCGAAGGGGCAGGAGTTGCCGAAGGGGCAGAAGTTGGCGTAGACGCAGCGGCGGCAGCGCGCGTTTGGACACCGGGAACAGACGAAGTACTCATAGCGAAGGCCAAGAGAAGGAGAGGTGAGATAGCAAGAGGGAGTCTAAACTCGTGCTAGGGGCAAGAAGAGCAAAGGGCGACAAGAGGAAGAAGGCAAGAGAGAAGAAAGACTTGAGAAATGAAGGCTTGGAAAATGAAGACTTGGAAAAGAGAAAAATGAAGAAATGAAGACTGATTGATAATCAGAAAAGGGTTTTGCTTAAATAGAAAAACCAGAAGGGAATTACGCAATTAGCCGAAGCGGAGATGATGCAATATTGCGCAATCGGAATTCCCCAGGTGAAATTTTTCCCCAGCGAATTTTTTTTTTTTTTTAGTTTGTCTTCCCTTGTGATGGATGGATGCCGCAAGATGCGATAGAAGCAGGAATGGTAGAAGTACCAACACAGACAGAGTGTGCGTGTGAGAGGGAGAGGGAGAGAGTCACAGGACTACCCCTTCGAGAGTCGAAGTTGTGGTAGTGCGAAAATGACGCAAGAAAACGCACGGATTGCGCAATCGAGTGGGGGAGTTCCCCAGCCGTATGTACGCACAAGAAATACCCCAGGAAGTCGACAGGTATCGACAGAGAACACCAGACACCGGGGAGATACGGTGTTGATGAAGGAGAGGGAGAAAGAAGCGAGGAGAAAATTCGAGAAGCGAAGAGAAATTTTGCGAAGCTTGGAAAAAGCGAGCGGAGGAAAACGCGAACGGGGATGACGTAAGCGCGGACAAGAACTTCTTTCACAGAACCAACAGGTGAGTAAGGGGCTGAGTCGTCAAACTGTTAGGCTCTCAACAGCGGTCCCGGGTTCGAATCCCGCCAAACGCACAAGAAAAATATTCAATCGTCGCACTTTTTCTTGTGTTCCTCTTTGCCTACGTCAAGGCATTCACTTGTGCATTGGAGGCATGCACTTCTTGGCTCATTTCCTGAGCAATCTTCTTTCTGGTTGGAGGGATAGAGACGAAGGGGCTAACATCGATTCTGGTGGGGGTACGGTTAGGTCGCCGGGACGTCTCCCCTTGAGGAGGGGGTGGTGTTAGGTATCTAACCAATTTGCCCATGTCAACTTCGACGAGTTGACATTGTACCTTTTTAGGTCAGTTGGTTTTGGGAGGGCAAACTCAATCCCTAACAGAGTGGTAGAGCCGCAAGGTCACAGCGGCGCCGCCTCAACCGAAGCCGCAGCCGA